CAGCTGACTGGCAAAGAAAATAAATAAAACTAAATGAAATCCTTTGCTGCAGCTCTCCCTCCACTTCCATTTCATTGTTGACAGTCCCGTTCATTGAAGCGTTTATCATCTGGGAGATCCGAAACTTCAGATATAGCAGTACGGACCTCACTGTGGGTGCCATTGATAACTGGCCATAGATCTCTGTAGCTATTCATCCGCAACTAATCTGCGTTTGCCATAATTATTTGCCCCGGGATGAAGATCTCGTTGGAACCTGCTCTCCAAAATTAAGATGATGATGCGCAAAATGTCCTCCTTATCGTGATATATCTGTATTTACCTTTTGGCCTCTTTTTTTCTGCTCTTCCTGTATTTAAGTGTAATGTATAGGGATTTGTGTGCTGATTCTGTGACCACCAAGGAGGCAGTCGAGATTAAAATCAATTAGCCATAAAATGCAACATCTCAATTTGGCATCGACTGCGTGGGCGAAACACTCGACTTCCCAAATGGGCGTGACTGGGGTTTACTAAACGTCTATTGGGTATTACAACTTTTACGATCGGTAATAAAAATATGAAACTAATCGAACAGTGTACAAATTCAATGGGGAGTATGAAAATACTTACTTTGGAGCATTCTGAAATCTAAATTATATTCCTTTCCTTCTTTAAAAGATAAAATTACAATTTTTATAATTGGGAAAAAGAAGTTAATATTCAGCTAAGATCCTAATGGTCATTTATGTGACCTTTCCCATACATTTCCATTAACGAAAACCAATTTGTCTGCCTTTAGTAAGCTATTTTCTTACCACTTTCATGAATTTACCACATTAAAATTCATGAGTCCCCAAATTTACCAATTTCCCATCCGAGAGAGGTCTATGAACCGACTGGTAAGCATTTCCCGCTGTTTAATATTTTCCACGCATCATCATTTGGTCAACTTCCTTCCGTCTTCGCCGGCAGCAAATCGGCTTATAGAAACGATTTCCTCCAGAGTTTCCGCCAGAGTTCCATTCCATAACACCGAAAGTCTTGGCAAACAGAACTGCGGCGAGGTAAGTAAACTTGACTCCTAGCCAAACTGGAAGAGGGGGCTCGATCGGCATTCAGATAGAGCCGAAAGGAAAACAACAGGGTTCTAAGAACCCAACAGAAGCATTAAAAGCGGTGGGGAGCGATGCACGTACGTTCTCGTTACTAGACAAACCAGTTGGACGTGCGCCCTTTGGAGAAAAATCAGGAAAAACACCAAGACAGGAGAGAGGACTGTACCCATGTACAGTGAACGCCCTGGAACGGATGCCAGTACCAGTTTGGAGCCCACAAACAAACAAATAAGCGTGCAGCCATAGAGCTGCGAACTGAACCGATCTGGGATATGCTATGTGGTGGGATGGAGTTCTAGGGAGGTAGGGAGTGAACCTGGTCGTGATTACACAGTGGAATGGCAAAGGAAGGAGGCGACATGCCTCCCATAATAAAGGTGTACAGCTGGGCTTAATAGCACTGCAAGAAAAACTTAAGCTAAACTACATAGCTTCTTAAAACTACATGGAGTCGGTTCGTTTCTCCTTTGTAACAAAAATATTTACTTTAAAATTTATTTTTAAACCACTATCAAAGATATTGAAAATATTATGAAATGTGCCAAGCAATTCTTAAAAACCTGTTTGCCAAGACTTTACGATAAGTTTCTATAATTAATATTCAACACATATCTTTCGAGCCTTAACTCTACTTTTTATAAGGAAGCGGTTTGTTTCTCATGTGAAAAGAAAACATCAATTTCTAAGTTCCCTTTTTAAACGACTATCGGAGATATTCAAATTCTTGTGATAAGAGCTAAACAGTCCTAAAAAACCTTATAGTGAGAACCTATTAGATAAGTTCATAAGATTAAAAACTGAATAAAAATAAACTATCATACTATTTTCTAAGCCCCTTTCTTTAAATCTATCTTGGTTTTACAAATATTTTTCTAAGTGATTAAAAAGAGGCGTCGAAAGGGGGCAGGAATGTAAATGTTTATGTATCTATGGGATGCCTTACATATGCACACATCACATCCATTTATGTATGTAAGAGGCCTAGGCGATCCAGCGAAAGGTGACTGATCTTTACAATTCGACACTTTGACTTTACAAACGAGAAAGAGGAATCGGAAAAGGGTATGGGAATGGGAATGGGGTTTAGGATGGGGTTTACGGGCTAGGGGAATGGGGTCTCGAACTCAACGGACAGCGCAATCAAAACAAAAGCCATCGAACACTGGCCCACGACGAAAACAGAGTTGTAGAAAATGAAACCAAAGGTGAGGCGAGGGCAACAAGCCCACGAAACGAAGACATAAAACAAGTATCCAGCTCAGAAAAAAAGATGCACGACTCGCATCCATGAGATACTCGGAGGCAGGGTCAAGGCGAACGGAGATTTAAGTACTTTTTTAGGGCATGGCTTATGATGGATTTGCCTGGCTGAGCATGCTAATGGATTTTTGGATTTTCTTCTGTTGCCCCGACGACGATCCGACATATTTTTTGGAAACATCAAAGCTGCTCGGGGTTTTCGGGAAATGCGATAAATGTAAATGGATATGATGGGGTTAGGCGGAGTAAACCAGTTCTAAATGAAAACGTATACACACACAGCATGCAGAACTTGTTGAGCTGGCAGCTGGCCAAGGATTTCCATGCTCCGTTCTTAGCTTTAATTTGGTCCGGTTCGCATTAAAGCTATGTAGTAAATCCACCCTGCAGATACGAACATGCTGAGTATGCGTAATTTTTATGACGGAATTATTACATCATTCATCTTCATCAGGCGACAATGACACAGACTTCGTGCTTATCGAGCGACTGCATAATGTCTTGACCAAATCGCAGGGATGCGGGTTCCGGGGTGGCTGGGAAAAAGTCTTGAATGCAAATGTCAGTCTCTCTGATTTGTAATCAAATTAAATTGTGTTTTGTCCAAACAATGAGCGACAGGCGACAACATCGCATCTGTGATAATAGCCGAAATTCTTGGTAAACGCCAAAGTCAGCCCGGAAAATGCAGTTTTCCCACACTCACCGAACAGCTCCACTACTCGCCTTCCAGAGAACTCCCCCCCACTCGGAACTCAACACTCTGGTCTGGTTGTAAACCTCATAAATTCTCACTTTTTGGCAGGCCGCACACGGCGAGGGAAATTCGAGGCGGCAGGACTCGAAGGACACAGCGCCAGCGATGAATAGAAATTCCCGAGATAATCAACGGCATTATCTGCTGATTATGTGTTCTTGAGGCATTCCAGGGAATTGCGTTATGAAAGGAGCGGCGAACTCGCAAAAAATATCGAACTATATCCGGGATGATCGGCGGATGATGAGGATGCGAGGACACCCGAGTGAGTGGCTGAGTATCCGCTTTCCTTTTTCGTTTTTTTTTGCAAACTCCCTGTGAGCTCATCGTAATCATCATCAAACCCTCGGTCACTTGAGGTTTAAGCCAACATTAAAAAAGAGCCGAAAAAAAACACCCAAAAACGAAGGAAATCAGTGGAATAAACGTGAGAACACCGAATGTCCTCGTACAGAAATTTGCTTGGGCTCCTCATTGTTCATTGAAGTGCTCGAGAGATTTGCTAGTTGTGTCCTTATTGTTTGCGGGTGTATGAATGAATGAATGAATGAACAAGTTTACGTCCGCATAAAGTATCTGAGTATCTGAGGGATTGCCGCGTTTTTAGCTGGAAACCAATGAGTCCCGGATGCAGTCGAGGCGTGAGAAGGAGGCGATCTCTGCGGCCTTGGCAACAAGTCTATTAGGGCCAGTCACTTGTTTATGGCTTACGTAACTTGGGTGGCAAAGGATGTGAAAATCCGAGATTGTGAAAAGGATGATGCGCCCTGATTTCTGCGCGCCAAATCGCGTTGGGTAAACACGCACACAGCACTCACATCCTGTTTACCCTTGACCGATTGCAAATGCAAATCGCACATTAGAAGCCATGTGCAACTTTCCGCCCAGCAGTCAAACATTATGCAACCAAAACTGAAGGCCGTCAGATTCATTGATGGCAAATGGTTGAGAAACCCATTCGGGACACGTTTTTATGGAGGTGCGAAATGGCACATTTTTTCATTTTTGACGGAACCTGCCGCGTCATTGAGTCCTTTTTAGAGCCTTTGCAACCTGTGCAGCAAGCCTTGCAATTTGTCACCTGAGGCGACATTCAAACTGCCAACGCATTCCAGCTGAGTTTTTGCCTTTGGCCATCGTCGTTTCACCGTTTCGGTTTACTGGGTCCTTTCATTTGGCCACGATTTGGTAGCAACATTTTTGTGAATTGAAATCTGTACCCGACCGTTACGAATATTCATTCATTGCGGCACACACTCTGGGGACCTTAAATGGGGCTTCGAATTTTGTTCTATGGTTTTATAAAATATTTATTAAATTTCCAACGAAAATATTTGTGCCCAATTTGCCAAATCATTTCCTTTTGGAAAAGGGGGAGAAACTTTCCCAGGCCTCAGCGAACTAAAAATGCAATTTATATTTATGCAACGCGAAAGGTTTGAGAAGGCCTGTTTCTCAAGGAATTAGGGAAACCCCTAAGGAAAAGTAAAAATTCTGGGTAAAAAAAGGGGAAATTAGGGGAATAGATGACACGGAATTGGCAAATTTTTCTATGAGAAAGATTTGAATTACCATTTCATCCAGAAATCAATGAAATGCAGTAAAAAAGTAAACAAAAGTAATAATAATACTTTAATAGCTTAAAGAAATGTGTGACACTTCATATTAAATATTATACTAAATATTATTATTATACTAAATACTACAGAAATAACTTGGTCTGTATTGGAAAATAGTATCTATGTACCAGTTCTAAGCAAAAAGTAAGAAAAATGTTACATTTTTATACTTAATCAAAGTTCACTTTGAATTTAGTGCCCAAGTGAAGTTAACAGCTTAAACTAGTAAAACTTACTCTTATTTTTTTGAACCTGAAAACATGGAGAATTCATGGAGCTCCTTTGCTTCTCTGGAAACTCTGGTGGTTCCCCATGTGTCTGCAGCTTTACCAGGTTATACGGGAATAGACCATAAATCGGATGATGAGGGTCCTGCGCCGAAGAAAGCCAGATTGACAGACGGCATTGAAGACTACTCACTGCCCATGGAAATGGCAAGTGCCTATAAGCTGGAGGCAGGTAAGATACGAAGCTGCTTGTGATTAATATCTCCCTTAAGTTAAGACTTCATCAAATAACATACATTACTTAACCAGCTTTCTTGAAAGGCCATCAAGCGGAGGCTTCACCGTACCAGCCGGGTACAGTGGTCATCCAGCCACCGAAACGATTGCCTCCCGAGGCGGAGAACGGTCGTCGCATGTATATACCCGATTTGGATCAAGCCATCACCCATCGCGAAGTATTTAACTATTTCTGCAACTTCGGGGATCTGGAAAGGGTTTGCGTGAAGAACGGCACGGATAACTTGAACTACGCCATGGTTCTCTTTTCACGCACTTCCTCCATGGAACAGGCCATCAAGTCTAATCCACATACGATCAAGGGACACCGTTTGAACTGCCGTAAGGCCAACGAAAGATCTAAAAATAAAACAAGCAAGCAGCCCTTTGGGTTTTCCAATAAACAACGGGAATCCTGCAGGAAACCTGGTACAAACCCGATTAAGCCACCCAATCCTCCTGTTTGGCAGCTAAAGAAAAAGGAGTCAAAAAGAAGTAACCAACAGAAGCTAAAGAAGTCTTCGAAACCCCTTCGCAGGTCGGAACGCCGTCAGCAAATGAACAAAAAAGTGGCTCCCAGGAAATCGGATAGAACATATGTGTATGCAGTGACTACCAAAGATAGGGTATCCCGGTGGAGCTTCAAGTTGTGCAGGTGCACTTTGAGTCCGGACGAGAAGAGTTCAAGGGAAAGGGGTATGCCACAGGCGGCACAGATCCTCCTGGATGCTCGCCCAAAAAAGGCAGTCAAGTTTACCACCTTGAATGCTCCGAATAGTCCAGGAACTTCAAGTGATAGCAAGCCAAAATCTCCAAATCTATGCTTAGCCCCATCCTTGCCCTCCCTACTGAATCATTCTCCCCTGGTTCCTTTGCCCAAAAGTGTCATCCCAGAACCTTCCAAACCCGATCTGCGATCCGTTATTTTGTCCACATTGGGTCAGGATTACGTGCATCACTGCTATACAAATGTGGAGGCTTATCGGAGGAGCAAGTGCTATATCGATCTCCTGCCCGAAGAAAGGATGAAGCGACCCACTGTAAAAGAGTATGTGGATCAGATTTACGGAGAAAAAGAAAACAAATGGACAGATATATAACTTTGGCTCACTCTTTTGTAATATTTCCAAAAAATGTGTCTAAAATATTCCACCTCTCTATTAGACTGAAATATTTTAAATGATAATGACTTGACTATCAATACATTTTGGGGGAATCCCAAAGGATGTGCACTAGATTCCTAGAAAAAGAAGGACTTGCTTGAATGAAACAAGAATAGATTTTTTAAAAAAGTTAATTCCCCACTCCGATCACACTTATGTAGACCCTTATAACCTAAAGGCACTCCAATTGCAGCAACCTGTCAACATAATTAATCCCCTGGATCAGCTGATGGCGGCACTGCCCTTCTGAATGATCCACAAAATATGAACAATTCATAAGAGACAAGAGAATGCGATAAAAGAGAAAAAATAGTGGGCCTTGATTTCTTTTTAAACTCTGTTTTGCCCGACATTCCCAAGGATGTGCCTCCAAAAACCTGACTGTTCTTGTTGTTGGCCGTGTTAATTGTCCAACATTGTGATCGTGGACGTGAACAGGTCGGGTGCCATTAACAATCTTAACAACGATCCACAGCCACAGCCACAGCGATCCCACGGCTTGTCGCCTTGTTTCTCGAGCGGTTTTTTATGCCATTTACGGAGAAATCTTGCAACAAATCAGGAGCTCCTTTTTCCAAAGTAAATATAAGTGTGTGCGAGGGGCGACCTTTATTCGTTTGATGTTAAAAAATTGTTCTACAATTTCCCCCCTTGGTTTGGCTGGCCATCTCTGTGAACCTGTGACGACGCAATTCTTTGCCATTATCAGCTGCATCCTTACAGGTCCTGCTGCACTAGTTTTCAATTTGGCTTTTATTGGGATCTCGGGCATCCCGATCCGATGCGATCCTAATTGCGGTGGCAATAGCTCGGCGGTTAATCACTCTGTACCTGTGGCTTAGACAGTCAAACCCGGCAGTCAGTCATCGCGGCGGAGGCGGAGTTGCCGATCGTATATATGTTTGTTATATGGTCCTGCAAATGGATCGACCTCGATTTTCACCAGCCAAATTGCGGCTTTGTGTTTACCTTTTCCCATTTGCCGGTGGATACATTTCTGGGCTGGATCGTTATCTGGTTCTCTTTGTGCTTTCAAGGTTTATGGTCTAGCACACATATATTTCCTGTGAGAACAAATCCCAGGCTCGAGGATGACCCCCGTAAACCGGAGGTACATCCCGACTAACAGCAACAACATTCCACTAAGTACTACATTCCCCTTCCATTTTTTTGGGGCAAACTCGCAGTACGCGCAGCCTGGAAAATCTACATAATGACAGGGCCATCCCGAAAACTAGTTCAGATCGCAAATTACGAACCGGTAAGGGATGGCATGGGATGGGATATATACGGTTGCAGTTCCCATTCAGGACAGGACATCAAACGCAACGGGAGACGCGGCAGTTGAGGTTCGGCAAAGGTCATGTCAGGACTTTGCATAAAATATTTGAAAATGTTTTCATTATGGTAAGTAGACACAAAAGCCCAACACACGAGCGATTCCCACCGAAAGGGGTGTCCTTTCCCAGCCCATCCATGCGCCCAGGATCTTGGCATATATTGGTGATAAATTAGTTTAATGTTTGGAACACCATACTGCTCTAAAAAAAAAAAACTAAAAAGACACTCAACCGCAGCTGAGGCAAGTAAAGCTTGGCAGGAAAAATCGTCTTACCATTTTGGCGGCATTTTTCCGACATGTACGTGTCCACCGAAATGAACTCGAATCCTGGCAACTAATGAACTGCGCAAACAATGAGGTACTATATGAGGAAAAAACTACATAAAAATCACGTCTTGGGAAATTTTCACATCGCTGATTTTAAATGGAAAAAAATACACAACCATGGGTGGACATTGCAGGACAAACAGGAGATCAGAACATGACACAATTGCAGGTCGCCGGACAATTGTTGCACTCACGCACGTGCAATGTTCGCCTGGATCTGTGGATTTCGAAGTCGAGTGCGCAGAGCCACGCCCATTGTCATATAGGCGGCTATATAGTGAGTTTGCTGAATGAAACGAACAGAGTTACGAGTTACTTTGAATAGCGGCCTCAGTGGCAAGTGGATCAGATCCTGCGACAAAGGACATTGTGTCCTTTGTGTTTCGCCTTGTTGGGGGTGTGTGGTGTTGTTGCAATTTTAGAGTAATTTTATTGTTGTTAATTGTATGAAATAGGTTTTTAAATAGCCTTTGTTTGAGGCGAATGAATGGCCATTCATACAATTAAAGGAATAGTAAAAACGTGTCTTATTCAAGGTGTGTAATATCATGTGTTTTTTAGGCGGGACAAAAAAATCAAGTAATTGTAACAAGATTTTCAATTGTTTCTGTGGATTATTAGTTCTTCATCCAAACCTTTTAAATAAAAAGGAATATCATTTGAAGTGACTTTTATTTTTAAGAATAACATTAATCCTTAACAATAAACACATTGTGTTTTACTCATAAGAAAAATAATAATAACTAAAACAAATGCAAAATGGAAGTATATTTTTTACTAATGATATTTTATTTGAAGAACAATTATAATACAAATAAACTCAAGGGTAAAAAGATTTTAAAAACTCAAATACATAAAAGTACTTTTTATGAAAGGTAATGTAATAACTGGCAATAGTGTCGTGTTGAGAGTGCCCAAAAGTCGGCGAATCCCTTGAGAGTATAATGACTCTAGAAAATAACATAAGTACTCAAGATAAAATAGTTCTAAGGCCTTCTCTCAAGAAAAACAGCAGTGCCCCTTAGAAATATGACCAGAAGTGTTTAAAATTCAAGTATGTTAAGGTCAAGCCTTAAGAAAACCACAAGATACCGTCGAGGAGTACTTTCAAGTCGCCTCTCAAATTAAACAGAAGTTACTTCCCATAAAGGATTCTTTCGTCCAAGTTCTCCTTTTAGCAATACCCCCTTGGATGCTATTATTTCGCCTTTTCTGATACACTTTTTGTCTTCTAAACTGATTTCCGCACAGCTTCCTATCTGGCTGCTGTTTGTTTAACACCTACTTCAAGGATCTCGCGAACCAGAACGATGATTTTTTACGGCAGGCACTTAAAAAATATTGATGGAAACAATAACCAGTCTCGACAAACCTGTTACAATGCCTTACATAATAGGAAAACCCGTGCAGGGCGCGGCAGGTAACTCTTCGGGGAGTTGGGCTCGCTTCGAGAGGCTTGTAATTCATATTTTCCAAACAATTTCTCTACGCAATCTTAACACTTTTGTCCGGCATAATTTCTAGGTTTCGGATCCAACCGAACACTCAACCTTTGTCCGCGATGGTAGAGTATAATAAAAACCCGCTGGTGCTTGAGAAAGCCAAGCGGGGGCTCGAATGGTTTTTGAAGAGGCCGCGACTGCGTCCCTCACTGTGTCACCCAAATGCGTTCCAGGAATATTTTAGAGATAGTGCGACAGCCATTCAATAAATGAATCTGGTCAATGACAGGGAGTGGCCAGTAAATCCCATTCAGAGATGACCCGAGAACGATAAAACCCGACTATGCCGGAATGCGGTTGAGTCTGCCGCCTCGACTACTATTTATGGATTCATTTGGATATTTCTTAGAATATTCCAAGGGTACATTACATTTTTTTATATAACTGTTTCGGTCCGCAAAATATCCGACAATTGCAGCTGTGTGATATGGTGCAATACATATTGGGGATATGCTTTTCTGGAATCGAGTCTGGAAATACCCTTTTTATTGGTAAAAGCTCTTCTACTATTTTCTGTTAAATTAGAGGTTCAGACAATAGGGAGAACTGATTTTCTTCTGCAATCACCAACCTTTACATTAAAATGAGCAAAAAAAACTTTATTGAACATTGTGAACTAAAACATTTAGACATTAGATTCTTAGGGCTTCCGAATTTTTAAAAATAATTAAATGCAATCTATAGTCCAATTAAAAATCGCATTCTCAAAAGTTCCAACATTTCCTACAAAAACGTAGGAATTTAAAGGAATACACATGATTAACAATGCATTCCCTTTATGAGGGTATAAAAATGTGCGAAGCCAGCAAAACAATATACTGTTATTAAATAAAGGTATTGAAATTTAGATGCCCTTCAAAAAAATACAATTAAGAAAATAGAAAAATTAAGGCCAACTAAATAATATAAAGTTCACATGGAGTAACTCGAGTAATTTTGAATCTTATGACACTCAAGGTATTTTGCAAGGACAACAACAATCATAATTCCAATGGACTTGCCAATTATTAGGAACTTGAATGAAAAAGGGTATTTAAAAGGTTAATGTATGGATCAGTTAAAGCTGACTCTCAACTAAATATAACACATAAATCGCTTCATTCACAAACCAAAGCACGCGCCAGGCTTAGTAAATATTGAAAGAAGCAGAAAATCAAATAAAGTGAAATAAAATGTGCACAAATGTATGGCCATACATATATGCATGGTATATGTGATAAGTCTGCATAAATTGCCAACTGGAATTGTAGCGAATTGTTTGCCTGAAGCCCAGGGGAAATTGGAGGAGACGAACAATTCGCCAGTGATCACGTCGCAGTCATTTCCGTAGTAAGATAAAATATGATTTGCAGATACACACATGTGTTGGGGCCCCCCATTATTTGCACACTCTCGTCTCGGGAGTATATCATCTGGTCTTATGACTATATCTTTTGCTTGCCCCTCAAGGTCGACCTTCAAAAGAAGCGCCTCCGTTCGAGAGCATTGCAATATTCGTTTTGGCTTCCATTGATAAGAAGCGGCAAAAAAGGTTATAAAGCAATCAAAAATCCGTTTTTTCCATTCATAAAAACTCGGTTTATCAGTGCCGCACACATGCGGGTTAAGCGGACAGTGGGGGGTTAAAGCGGGGGCGTATTTTCTGCCGATATTTTGGTGACGTCACTCGAATGCAGCTGGCGCTAATTTGTTTTTTTTGCTTCGCTGTATGTGGTGCACTCGCTTCGGTTTCCGTTTCTGCACAACCCGCAGACTCATATTTCCTC